GGGGCCAGTAGAGGGGTGTCCAGGAGAAGGTGGGGGAGCTGTGACCCAGAGGGTGGCCCTGGAGGGACACTGGCTGCTGAAGGACACCGTGCAGGGGTGGGCAGCCTGCACTCTCCAGAGGGCTTGAGTTCCCCAGATTCCACTGCTGGCCCGGGCGAGTGCCTGGAGCTGCATGGCTTCCTGGATCGGAGTGATAAAGTGTGAGAGACAGCACAGGGCCTGTGGGCCTGTGACAGTTTCTGGGACATGTACGGTGACTCAGCTTTGCCTTTTTTTGTTGTGGATGCCGTTCTGGGGATTGGAATCAGGGCCTCTAACTGAGCTACAGCCCCAGCCCTTTTGTAATTTATTTTGAGATAGGGTCTTGCTAAGTCACTAAGTTACCCAGCTAACCTTCCTGTCTCAGCCTCCCTAGTGTTACAGACCTTCTGACTGACAGGGACTCAGTACACACACCCATCCCTCTCCTGGCCCTCATGCTGGATTAGGCTGCCTAGACCTCGGTCAGGTTGACATCCGGTCTCTGTGGGGTTTGACCCTTTACTCTCAGAGGTGGGAATGTGCCCCAGGATGCAGGGGGCTCACGCCGGGCAACTCCCGTCTTGGGAGAGGGCTTTGTGCCCATGAGGCCTACTCCAAGAAGTGGGGACAGAGGAAAGAACAATCTCCTCCTCCTTTCTTTTTGGCTTTGGAGACAGGATCTTACTGTGTTGTTCAAGTTGGCCTGGAACTCACAGAGCTCCTGCTGCCTCAGCAGACCGCATGCTGCTTTGAACTGCAGGATGACGGAGGGGAGTGTCTGCGATGCGCGGTGCGGACCCAAAAGGTAAGCACTTTTTTTTTTTCCGGGGAGGGGGCAGGGTACCGGGGATCAAACTCAGGACCTCGTGCTTGCCAGGCAGACGCTTGTGCCGCTCAGCTACATCCCTGGCTTCCAGCACTTTGTTGCTAACTGCCCGTGAGAGGGGCCGCTCATCATTTTTAAATGTGTAGAGACGCCATCGTCTTGGGGGTATAAGGGCTTCCTGGGGATCTGTATTGAATGACCACACTCCGGAAGGTGAGAGTGTCTTTCAGTAGCGCCCCAGAGAGTTCAAGGCTCGGTTTTTCTTGGACCGGCACCTCTTTGTTTTTTGGTTTTGTGATTTTTTTTTTGTTTGTTTTTGTTTTTTGTCTTTTTGAGACACGGTCTCGCTGTGCAGTCCAGGCTGGCCTTGAGCTCACTTTGTAGCCCAGGCTGGTCTCGAACTCGCAACGATCCTCCTGCCTCAGCCTCCCGAGTGCTGGGATTACAGGCGTGCGCCACCACGCCCGGCCTCAGCCACCTCTTTGTCTTTCTTGTCGCCACCCGGGCCAGGTCCAGGCCCCAACTGCGGAGCCGCGCTCCCCTCCCGGCGCCCGCGCCCATCGCCCCGCTCTTCTTCCCCAGATCCCTCCAGGTGCTGGCTGGGGCGCGCCGTCCTCGAGGTGGCCGGCGCCCAGGCCTCTCACCGCAGCCTCTCTTTTGGCGGGAACGGCCCCGCCGTCCGACTCGATCCCCGATGCCCGCTCCTAGGCCTGGGGCTTCCCGGCCGCACGGCTCGCGGGGCCGCCGGCTCCGCGTCCTCTCCGGGATGGGCTCGCCGTCCTCCTTCGCCCGGGCTGTTGAGCGGCGACGACTTGGGCTTCTCTTGTGGAGGAGATCCGCTTCTCCTCGCCGAGGACTCGCTCTCCTCCGCGGCCCGGCGGCGGCGGCCTCCCTCGGCGCGGCTGCCGCAGTGACCGCGACGGGCTCGGCGCCAGGTGGGGTCGGGCTCCCGCCGCACAGGGCCGCTCGGCGCTCCCGCTTCCCCACCACCGCCAGACCGTCCCGGTACCCACCCCGTTCCCCGGCTCCCCTCCTCTCCACTTCATTCAAGCTGCCAGCCGCGCAGAGCCAAAGCCAAAGGGGCGGCCCGTCCAGCGGAGAGAGCGCCGGCTGCAAGGAGCGCCTCGCTAGAGCCCCGGACTTCCGCTTCCGGCCCGTGCGCGCCCCAGCAACCCTCAATAAAGTTTTATTAGAACACAGTCGTGCTTGTACTTACAGATTGCCTGTGGCAGTTCTTCTACAATGGTGGACTTGAATAGTGACGCTAGAGAATGTGCTCCAAAAACCTAAAATATTTATTATCTGGTCCTTTACAAAAAATATGTCATTGCAGTTGCCCACAGTGATGTATGTTTGCAGTCCCAGAGTTCTGGGAGGCTGAAGTGAAGAGACCTCAAGTCCAAACCCAGCCTGGGCAACCTGGCAATTTAGTGAGACCCTATCTCAGAATAAAAGATAAAAAGGAGCTGGGGATGGAGCTCAGCACAAAGGCCCTGGGTTCAGTCTCCTGTACCTGGTACAAAGACGAAAACCAGAAGTTGACCTGCGAAGAAGTCTCCAGTCAATGCAGCTCCTGGGGCCAGGGGTGCTGCTCAGGGACAGAGTGTCTGCCTAGGGTGTGAGAGACCCTGCTGTCCATCCCCAGCACTACATATCAAAGAACAAAACAAAACAGGAAAATTTAAAGTAAAATTTTGGCCGGGCGTGGTGGCACACACCTGTAATCCCAGCACTCGGGGGGCTGAGGCAGGAGGATCGTTGCGAGTTCGAGGCCAGCCTGGGCTACAAAGTGAGCTCAAGGCCAGCCTGAACTGCATAGCGAGACCCTGTCTCAAAAACACACAAAAAAATGTGGGGGCCTAGGTGAGTTTAACGCATCAAAATACACTATGAGGGCCCAATAAAATGTAAGAGACAAAGAATAGGTCCTTAACCAAAAGAGAGAGCCCTTAGGAAAAAAAAACAAAATTCAAATGAAACAGCTTGCTTTCCTGAGATCAAAGCCTACCTGGAATCAGGAGCATGTCAGCTTTCTGTTATGTGTCCTGGTACTAAAAGCTGTATGAAAAACCAACAGACTTAAACATCTCTAGTGTCTGCCTTACAGAACACCCTTTTTCGACCAGCGGAGAACTTTTGTTTTATTCCTTCTAATAAACATGCGCTTTATTTTGTCTCCTAAGGCTTCTCTTCAGTTTGACCCTGTCCAGTGCCAGCAACGGCAGCCTGGAGGCACTCTTGAAAGTAGCCAGCAATATCTGTGCTGCCCGTCTCTTAATCCTGTGACCCGGGGCCGGGGATTTAGCTCAGTGGCAAAAGCGCCTGCCTGGCAAGCGCAAGGTTGTGAGTTCGGTTCCTGGTACCGGAGAAAAACCAAAAAAAAAAAAAAAATCCTGTGACCCCTTTGTCTCATACTTAGCTAAAGGGCCCCTCTTTTTTGTCCTCAGTTAGCCTATGTAAGGCATACGTGTAAAGTGCTCCTCTCATAGCTGTTCTCCCGTGCTAAAGGCAAACGGTGTTTGCAAACTGGCTCAGCCTGACCGCTTGGAGAGAGAGGTTGCATTGCCACCTGGCTTTTGTTTAGGTAGAATGGTCTAGCAAGCCAAGAAGTTGTAAAGCTAACCTCCAGTGAGTTGGAATGAAAAAAAAAATGGGGGGGTATTTATTTATTTATTCATTTATTTATTTTTTTGGGGGGGGGTATTTTAATTTAGGCCTTTATCCTAGCAAAACTTTTTCAGGAGATCTAGAGGGTTATTGTGTTCACCTGTTCTCGGCCCTATACCTCTATCAAGAGATATCTGAAGAGGGGGTCTGTCTCACTAGCTGAGAGAGAAAAGTCCAAATCTGTAGCTCAAGTCTTAATGGAGGTTTAGGAAAGGGCTCTAACAGTGTCGTCTGAGGTCACTCTGGGACAGAAGATACCAGGAGAAAGGCCAGGGATACAGCTCAGCGGCGCAGCACCTGCCTGGCAAGTGCAAGGTCCCGAGTTCAATTCCCAGTAACAAACAAACAAACAAAAAAAACCCAGAAGATCACTGAAAGAGTTTTATCTCTCACCTCATGGAGGACTACAGGTGAGGGCAATAGATAAGTGGAGATTTTTCTACTGGTTACCCAGTCGGGCTGTTGGGACCCAGCTTCCATGCCCACTGGGAAATCACCCCACCCACGGCCCCTCCGTTGTCCTCTCAGCTTTCACTGGTTCCAAGCAACCAGAGATCTGTCTCCAGAAAGGCATCCAACTGCCCTATCTGGCCAGCGTTCTCATTGGCTTGAGTGGGAGATTAATCAGAAAGTGCGAGGGAACCTGTCTTCTGTTTAAGAGTAGCAACGGCTCCAACAGCATTTAACTAACTGGTGGAGTACCCACTGTTTCTTAGAGCTCTATAAAGGGACAGATAAAGGCTGAGTGTGCATATGTTTGGATTCTACCACAGTTACCTCGACAGAGAAAAGATAATATCCCGTGTTGGGCACCAAAGATATAACAGAACCCTCTAGCTCTCAGGTCCTTGTTTGGGGGCAATGAAGATTGAAGGCAACAAAACAGCAAACAGTAGGGGATGTTTATTATGCTGAGGGCAAAAAAGAGGGGCCCTTTAGCTAAGTATGAGACAAAGGGGTCAAGGGATTAAGAGACGAGCAGCGCAGATATTGCTGGCCACTTTCAAGAGTGCCTCCAGGCTGCCGTTGCTGGCACTGGACAAGGTCAAACTGAAGAGAAGCCTTAGGAGACAAAACAGAAAAGTATTGTCACAGGTAAATATCAACACCGGGGCAGAATGAAACCTTGATAGGCCTCTGATTCCCCCACTCTTTAAAATATATACTTAAACCGGGAGTTGTGGTGTACGACTGTAATCCCAGCACTCAAGAGGCTGAGGCAGGAGGATCCTTGCAAGTTTGAGACCAGCCTGGGCTATAAAGTGAGCTCAAGTACAGTCTGAACTGCATAGTGAGACCCTGTGTCAAAAAAACAACCAAAAATAATACATTCTTATCTCCAAAAATTGTCACCTAGTCACACAAAAAAAATTGTTACCTAGTCTCTTTCTACACCCAAACCTGGCCGGAACAGCTCTGGCTATCAGCTGTGGCTATCAAAGCCACAGAGGGTGCTAAGAAGCCTGCAAGGCCATTTCATGATTAAGGCAAATTGTCAGTCTAATCTTTCTTTAAATGGTCCTTGCATTTACAGTGTGAAGAGGTTTCCCCTCTCGCCTCCTTACTGGTGTTAGCTTTTTTTTTTTTTTTTTTTTTGGTACTGGGAGTCGAACTGAGGAGCTTGCACTTGCCAGGCAGGCACTTGTGCCTGCTGAGCTATATCCCTGGCTGGTGTAAGCTTATTGCAAGAGATGTCTATATTAATTGGTCACCCCCAAAAGTTCTGACTCATCAATTTATAATAAACCTACAACAGATTACTATAGCTATAGCTCAAGTTGGCCAATATTTCTAACAGTGTACTCTGATCTGAAGGTCATTGTGTGTCTGTGTCTTTTGTTTGTTTTTTCAAACTGATTAAGATACCTACAGCTGCTTTGTCTAAGCTTTTTGAGCTCACGTCAATTTTATTTTTCCTTTTATTTTTTTCTCTGGCTCTTTTGGCCTCCCATATAAAAACTCATTATCTAGTTTTTTGTTTTTGTTTTTTGTTTTGAATAGCTACGTCCACTTCAAAAGTTACGGGATGAGGGTTAAGAGATTTCAAACTCACATGAGACTTACAAATAGAAGCATTCATTAGTAGAGTTTTTTTTGTCTTGTTTTTTTGTCTTTGTGAGACAGGGTCTCGCTATGCAGCTCAGGCTGACCTTGAGCTCACTTTGTAGCCCAGGCCGGTCTCCAACTCGCCATGATCCTCCTGCCTGAGCCTCCCAAGTGCTGGGATTACAGGCATGCGCCACCACACCTGGCTTTCATTAGTAGAGTTTCAGAGCATATAGGCTATATATGATTTAAACTGCATATGTTTCTATATGTAAATCTTCAAATATATGTTCTACTTAGGTTGGTTTATATATAACCACTCATGATATTAGTCTACATGGTTTTTGGATCACATAGTCTAACAGTGAGTTAATTTTAATCAGTTGATAAAAAAAGATGTCCTTTTTTTTAAATAAAACTACTAATAAAATAGCTGTGGGGAAAAAGGAACCCTTCTCCACTGTTGGTGGGAGTGCAAACTGTAGAAATCAGTGTGGTGATTCCTCAAAAAAACTAAAAATAGAAGTTCTATTTGGTCCAGCTATTTTCCTTTTTGGTATCTTCCCAAAAGAATTAAAAGCATCATCCACAGCAATATATGCACGCCTATGTTTATAGCAGCACAGTTTGTAATAGCTAAATCTTGGAAACAACCCAAATGCCTGTCAATCAATGAATGGAAAGAGATGTGGGTTTTTTATACAATGGAGTACTACTCTGCCATAAAGAAGGATAAGCTGAGACATTTCTAGCTAAATGTATGCACCTTGAGACCATAATCTTAAGCGAAATAAATCAGCCACACGTGTTTAAATATCGCACTGTTTCTCTGGTGTGAGAAGCCAAAAGTGTGACTAAGGACCAAAATGTATAGTAGATATTGGGAAATAGGAATAAAATATTCAAATGAGAAGGGGAATAAGAGAGAGGGAAGGGGGAAAGGAAAGAAAGGACAAGAAAAAAAGAGAATAGCAGGAAAAAATGGAAACAAAGCTTTTGTAAATAAACAGGGGAAGAGAGTTTAGGGATTGGAGAGGAATGGGAAAAAAAGAAGCAAGTTATATCATGTAGAGGCACAAATTCCCTGTGATGAATGTGATCATTATATATTTAAGATGTACCAATAAAAGAAAGAAAGCCGATGACAACCAAAATGATATACAAATTGGTTTATAAATAAAGCGCCTTGTTTCTCTGGTGTGAGAAACCAAAAGTGTAAATAAGGATCAAGATGTATAATAGACATTTTGAAATGGGAAGAAATGTTTCAATGGGAAGAGGAACAAGAGAGGGGGGAGGGGGAAAGGAAAGAAGGAAAAGCAAAAAAAAATGAGAAGAGAAGGAAAACATGGAAACAAAGCTTTTGTAAGTGGGGGGAGGGAGGGTTGAAAGGAGGGAAGGGTGTGGGAAAAGAGAGAAAGAAGTTCTATCGTGTGCAGGTACCAATCCTCTATCACTATGTATATCTAAAATGTACCAATAAAATCTCATTAAAAAAATAAATCTAATGCCTATTATTGTCTGGTCAAAGATAATATATAA